GATGTTTTAGGGTTTCAGGATTGTTGTATTCTCTGTTCGGCTTTGTTTTTCAGATCTTTGCTGTGGAGGGACGGCGTGGTGCTTCTGCCTAGAGCACCATTTTGCCGGAACTGCTGCAATAAATTTTGAATGATTTTCAGCAAAATTTTACTTGCTTGTGATATTAATGATATTGTTTGATAATTTCCACATTCTATTGGATCACCTTTCTTTGGAATGGGCACAAGTATGAATCTCTTCCAGTTGGTTGGAGAGGTAGCTATCTTCCAAATTTCTTGGCACGGAACAGTGAGCACCTCCAGTCTTGTATCTGTTTGTGGAAACATATCAATTGGTATTCCATCCATTCCTGGAGCCTTATTTTTAAGCAATGCCTTCAGTGCAGCTTGGACCTCTTCCCTCAATACCATTGGTTCGTGATCATTTGCTAACTTAAACGTCAATCAGTTCTTTCTGGTACAGTGACTCTGTGTATTCCTTCCATCTTCTTTTGATGCTTCCTGCATTTTTCAATATTTTTCCCATAGAATTTAGTATTGCAACTCGAGGCTCGAATTTCTTCTTCAGTTCTTTCAGTTTGAGAAATGCTCTTATCTTCTTCCCTTTTGGTTTTCTAACTCCAGGTCTTTGCATATTTCATTATAATACTTTATCTTCTCGAACTGTCCTTTGAAATCTGTTCGGCTCTTTTACTTCATCATTTCTTCCATTCGCTTTAGGTACTCTACTTTCAAGGGCAAGTTTCAGACTCTCTTCTGACATCCATCTTGGTCTTTTCTTTCTTTCTTTCCTTTTCATTGACCTTTTGGTTTCTTCATGTATGATGTCCTTGACGTCATCCCACAACACGTCTAGTCTTCAGTCAATGTGTCAAATCTATTCTTGAGATGGTCTCTAACCTCAGGTGGGATGTACTCAAGGTCTTCTCTCTCACTGCCTATTTTAGTTCAAGGTTGTCTCTCAGTGTCTATTTTAACTTGAGTGTGTAAATGATTCTTACCCTCTTTTGCCTGAAAGTAATAATGTAATGATGCTGTCTGATCAGTTTTTAGTTCTTGGTTTCCAAGCAAAGAGCCCTGGTGGTGCAGTGGTTAAGAGCTCGGTTGCTAACCAAAAGATCATCAGTTCGAATCCACCACCCACTCCTTGGAAATCCTATGGGTAGTTCTACTCTGTCCTATAGGGTCGCTATGAGTCAGAATTAACTCGACAGCAATGTGTTTCATTTTTGGTTTCCAAGCAAAGTTAATTATGATAATAAAGGGACAGATTGAGAATTTAAAAGAATAAAGTTGTTCTGGTGTCTCCTGCTGCATCTTTCGCTGGTGCCTCCCTCACTCCCTCCTTGTGCCCTCAGAGCCTGGACCTGAGCACACGCTGCCAGTCATGGTGACCAAGGCTGTGTGCATGCTGAAGGGCAATGGCCATGCAGGGCACCATCCACTTGGAGTAGAAGGGAAACAGGCCAGTCCTGTTACTGGGATGCATTACAGCATTGATGGAAGGCCTCCATGGATTCCATGTTCACCAGTTTGGAGATAATACACGAGGCTGTACCAGTGTGAGTCCTCACTTTAGTCCTCTATCCAAAAAACATGATGGGCCAAAGGATGAAGAGAGGCGTGTTGGAGACCTGGGCAATGTGACTGCTGGCAAAGGCAGGGTGGCCCATGTGTCTATTGAAGGTGCTCTGATCATGCTTGTCTTAGTTATCTAGTGCTGCTATAACAGAAGTACCACAAGTGGATGGTTTTAACAAAGAAGAATTTATTCTGTGACGGTTTAGGAAGATAGAAGTCCAAATTCTGGGATCCAGCTCCTCAGGGGAAGGCTTTATCTCTCTGTCAGCTCTGGAGGAAGGTCCTTGTCATCAATCTTCCCCTGGTCTAGGAGCTTCTCAGCCCAGAGGCCCTGGGTCCAAAGGACACACTCTGTTCCTGGCACTATTTTCTTAGTGGTATGAGGTCCCCCTGCCTCTCCACTTGCTTCTCTCTTTTATATCTCAAAAGAGATTGACTCAAGATACAACCTAATCTTGTAAATTGAGTCCTGCCTCATTAACATAATTGCCTCTAATTCCACCTCATTAACATCCTAGAGGTAAGATTTACAACACACAGGAAAATCACATCAGATGACAAAATGGTGGACAATCACACAATACTGGGTATCATGGCCTAGCCCAAGCTGACAGACATTTTTGGGCGACACAATTCAATCTATAACAACACTCAAGGGAAACAATTCTTTCATTGGCCACATAATGGTGATCCATGAAAAAGAGGTTGACTTGGGCCAAGGTGGAAATGAAGATAGTATAAAGATCGGAAATACTGAAAATTATTTGGCTTGTGGTGTAATTGGGATCGCTCAATAAATATTCTTTAGGAAATGGTCTGAGTCCTAGTAATTTACCTGCTAGCTGTAGAAATTTAACTTGATAAATGTTAAACACTGTACTCTAAAACATTTAATTGTGTGAATTTATTTTAAGTGCTTTAAGTACCTGTAATGAGAAATGATTTATGACCACTTGAAAGATTCGTATAGTTTTATAAAACTCTTATTCAACTAAAATGTCTTGTTCAGTGCTCTCTGTATTTTGCCAGACTTTGCCACATATGGTTACTAAACATAACTGTCTGAATTTCTTCAAAAAATAAATAAATAAAAACTCTTATAATTCAACAATAAAAAGACAAACTCAATCAAAATATGGACAAAATACTTGAACAGGCATTTCTCAAAGAAGATATACAAATGGCCAGTACACACATGAAGAGATGCTCAACAATCATTAGTCATTTGGGAAATGCCAATCAAATCCACAATGAGGTATCACTTCACATCCACTTTAATCAAACCACTGGCTGTCACATCTATTCAGATTCATGGCAACCCCATGTGTGTTAGAGTAGAACTATGTTCCATAGGGTTTTCAATGGCTGAATTTTTCAGAAGTAGATCACCAGGCCTTTATTCTGAGGCACCTCTACGCCTGCAACTTCCACCCTTTTGGTTAATAGCCAAACACTTAAACATTTGCACCACTCAGGGACTAAACATATCCACTAGGATGACCATTATCAAAACAAAAAAAAAAAAAGGAAAATAACCAGTGCTGGCGAAAATGTGAAGTAATTTAACCTTTGTCCATTGCTGGTGGAATGTAAAATGGTGTAGCCGCTGTGGAAAACAGTTTGGCAGGTCCTCAAAAAGTTAAAGATAGAATTACCATATGACCCAGCAATTCCAGTCCTGGGTATATGCCCAAAATAATTGAAAGCAGGGACTCCAACAGATACTTGTACACCAATGTTTATTGCAGCATTATTCACAATAGTCAAAGGTGGAAATAATCCAAGTATTCATCAACAGATGAGGGGTTTAAAAAAATGCAGTATATACAATCAATGGAATAATATACCACCACAAAAAGGGATGACGTTCTAACATGCTACAACATAGATGAACCTTGAAAACATTATACTAGTTGAAGTCACCCAGACAAAAGGACAAATACTGTATGATCCCATTTATACGAAATATCTAGAATATTCAGATGTATAGAGACAGAAAGTAAACTAGTCTTTATCAAGGACTGGTGAGAGCCGAGAATGGGGAGTTATTGCTTAATGGGTATGGACTTCTGTTTGGGCTGATGAAAAAGTTTTGGCAACAAATGATGGTGATGGTAACACAACATTGTATGAAAATAGTTAAAGTGGCAAATTTCATGTTCTGTATACTTACCCTCAATAACCATAAATTTTATGTTGTGTACTTTTTACCACAATAAAAAACATTAGATAAATTTTAATACATGCAACATATTTTTTAAAACCAAGGAAGGAAATTAGGACATAGAGAAAATATATACACAAAAATTAATAAAGTACACAGAACTTTATGAAATGTATCTCGGGTGTTAATCATTGCTATGAACCTATCTTCTCAGGGGCTATAAATTTGTTACAGAGCTCTCTGTCAGCTAATGCAAAAAGGTGTATAAAATATATAGTGAATAATATTTTAAAGCAATTATTCAGAAAACGTATTTATTTTGGTAACAGGATTTGAGAAAAAATTTCACTGTTAATGATCATAAACTTGAAAGAATGTGATCAAATGAATAACAGCCATAACTTTTCTACAGGTCTTACAATTATAACAAAATAATATTGTTTATAGGACTTTTTTTATAAGCGCTCTCAAATCACTCTATGGTGTCCAAAAGACTGCAGCACACATGGAAATCTCTCTGAAAGATTAGCATAATCCATAGGTAAAATAAGTGTTTATAAATGAAGGAAGGAATTAAATAACACATAAAATTCCAAACATTCTATCACAAAAGCAAGCTTTAAATAAGCTTGGAAATGCAGAGAATTTCAGTCTACCATGCAAATTAAAGGTAGTCTAACAGATTTCAATGGAGCTTCCAAACTAAATCAGACTACTAAAAAAGGCCTGACAATCTATTTCTGAAAAACAAGCAATGAAAACTCTATGGATCACAACAGTCCAATGCATACCCCATCATGAGGATGGAACAGGACCAGGCAGCAATTCATTCTGTGAGCATGGGGTTGCCATGAGTGAGGGGCAAATTGAAGGTAGCTAACAACAACAACATACAGTAGTCCCCTTATCTGTGGTTTCATATTTCGAGCTTTTAGTTACCCAAAGTCAACCAAGGTCCGCAGCGCTTGTGTTCAAATAACCTTTATTTTGCCTAATAATGGCCCCAAAATGCAAAAGTAGCGATGCTGGCAATTCAGATGTGTCAAAGAAAAGCCCTAAAATGGTTCTATTTTACTTTTAGTTACTGTTGTTAATCTCTTACTGTGCCTAATTTGTAAATTATAATTATCATAGGTATGTATGTATAGGAAAAAACATAATATATATAGGGTTCAGTACTAATCACTGTTTCAGACATCCACTGGGGGTCTTGGAATATATCCCCTGGGATCAGAGGGAACTACTGTATGTTGTAGAGCCCTGGTGACACAGTGGTTAAGAGCTAGGCTGCTAACCAAAAAGTCAGCAGTTCAAACCCACCGTCTGCTCCTTGGAAACCCTATGGGGCAGTTCTACTCTGTCCTATATGGTCACTGTATATAGTGTAAAATTTTATAGCATAAAATTTCAAATAACCTAAAGGTCTATCAATCAACATACGTCAAATAAATCATCACCTGTTCACAATATGAAACACTGGGCAGCAGCAGTCAAAAACAACGAAGTAGAACCACGTGCACCAATAAGGAAGGACTTTCAAGACATATTTTTGAGTACACATAGAAGTTAGGTTGTAAATTAGTTATGTCCTGGAGGTCATTTGCCATTTTTGTTTGTGACACTATATTTCTTAAAGCTTTTTTTTTTTTCTGGAATTAAATACAGAGTAAGATCAGTTTGTAAGTCAAGAGCTGTGCAAGTTGGTGACAATTAAAATCTTGTGGCTAGCATATGAAAGAAGGTTTATCTTTCTGTCTTTTATAGCAGAGAGTCATTTATCCAGCCCATAAAAAAGTGGTATTGTTATAATGACACAGATTTTATATGCATATATAAAATCTCTTAACAGTGGTTAAGAGATCAGCGCTAATCAAAAGGTCAGCAGTTGAAATCCACCAGCTGCTCCTTGGAAACCCTATGGGGCAGTTCTACCGTGTCCTATAGGGTCATTATGAGTTGGAATCAACTCAAAGGCATATATATTTATTTACTATATTAACATATATATTAACATATTTATATATATATATATAGCTTTATTCAAAAATATATATATTTCTCCATCAAGAGTTAAAGGCGTAACAAAGTAAAAAATAAAATGCGTGAATAAAATAAGATAAAGTGGTTTAAGCATGAAATGTTGCAGTTATTTAATAAGTTACATGTTTCACAAAATCCATAAAATCAGAAGTCCCTAAAACTTGTAGGTAAGATTTTAAATCAAAGAACAGACATTTGTTTCCATTCTTATCACAGGAATCTTTCCAATTAAGGGGTCTCATCAGAGGTCTGCTGAAGTGGAAATAACTTGAATGTAAACACCTGTGATCTAAAAGCATACCGCTGGTATTTCTTTGTGACAGAATCTTCCAGGTGAACAATGAATACACCTTTTGAGAAAGTAGAGAATTTTACCAAGTTGCAGGTCTATCAACAAACTAATTAATGCTGTATAACACTCTGTGACCGATGGATCCAAAGGTGTCCAGATGCCATACTACCTAATCTCTGAAGAAAATATCTAACCCAAGGCACATTCCAAAATGCAAATGGAAAGTTTTGCCTTACTGTCATCCAAAATAATACTCAAACCAGTAGGTTTTATTCACTTTAACATTTCCTTTAAATATGTGAATGAAATATGTATCAGAGAGTCAAATAAATGCTTTGGTAAAATAAAATTAAAAACACATTAAAATTTGAGAATATGGTTTCCACTCTGATTGTCTACAACTCCCACTAATGAGAATCGTATAAGTGATTCTCACAGAAAATGTACAAATCAAGGAAGAAACTGGACACATGTTAAAGAACTGAGATAACCCTTTATGGATAGAACAAACAAAATAACAATGTAGATAATAATAGAGGTATGATAATAATATTATACCCAAAAGCTATAATTTATTGGGAGCTAAGTGCCAGATACTATGTGAAAGCACTTTATATATAGATATACTCCCCACAACAACCCTACGAAGTCAATGTGACTTTTCTTTCATTTTATAGAATAAGAAAGTGAAGCTTAGGAAATTTAAAAGGCTGGCCTAAGTTCACCCAGCTAATAAATGCTGATATCAAGACTCAAATTCAGACCAATCTGACTCCAAAGCCCATGTTCTTTAACAACTATGGAGCTGCTCTGAAAGTCAGCTGACTTCAAACTTGGGCTTTCTTGTAAATGCTTTCAGAAATTCATAATACAAATATTTATTGATTGCATACTGTCTGCCAGTCTCTGTGCTAGATGTGGGGGATACATCAGTGAAAAGAAAACTTTTTAATTAAATTTCTATTTCAGGTCACAGAAAATTTTTTACTTAATAAAAACCAGTCCTATCTGAGCATTTGCCATACAGGGAAAGGTATCATTGACATTTATTAGAACATAACCTAAAAATGTTAACCATACTAAGTAGGTGTGTGCAACAATATAATGGCTTCATAACCTCACATTAGCACCATGATTAATATTTAGAGGTTTAAGGAAAATTTATCGCTTTAAAATGATATTCACAGCATTCCAATCAAGTAGCAGAATTAAGTTAAAAAGGAAGTGTAATAAATATTGTTATTTCTGAAGTTTAGTAGAACTTTCCCATTTTTTTTCAGTTTCACTTTTTAATCCTGAAG